TCCATTACTGATCATTCTTCCTGTTCTTTATGATAGGTCAGTATGAATTTTGATTTTTTTCGTTATGGTTATCAACGGACTCCTGAAGCATCTGGAGTTGAGTTTATTTATCAGTACGTGTGCTTTAAAGTCTGTCTCATTTTTCTCCATTAGTTACATTTTGAACATGGTGATTTCATTGCAGTTAATGCACTGGTAGATCTGGTACAAGTTTTAATCTTCTACGGCTTTCGTGTATCCGCTCTGATGCGTGACGCATATGGACATAGAGCATGGCCCATATCCACTTGACACTCGCCAGGTTCTAACCGCTTGAACACTTTCATTTTAAATGCGAGTGTGATAGATTTCCTTGTATTTTTTGGCGGGAATTGTAGCACTGTCACTTGCGTATCTTCTGTCAGCCTTTATAAACGATGTTCATAAAAATACAAACGCGACCACGTACAGTCAGCTAACAGCCTTGATGCGCACCACTCAACTGACATGAATGACGCTCAGTGACCGCACTAGCAAAACATCCGCCAATGATGTCACGTAATGCTTTGTCTAATAAACATATTAACTATTATATCTGATTATGATCCGGGCTACGTTCTTGAGTTAAACTACCTGGACAAACTTATGTTGCAAATAAAAATTTGGCCAACAATAAAGAGCGTTATAAAAAATCAACGTCGAACCAGGTATCATTAAACAAGATTTACCTCTACGGAAAATATCATGAATGGTGTCAGTATTTGAGCAAACTTAAATTTTTATGCCAAGTTGGTTAGCGTCTGCTCTCAGTCTGATTGCTCTCAGTCACTCCAGCGAAAAGTTTTTCTTTCTTTGGAGGTGTCGAGGTTCTTGTAGCCTGAACTTTACTGGCTTAATTCATAACTATTATTTCAGAGCTCACGTGATACGTGATATCGACGAAGATTATGGGCATATTCGGAAAAGACCCAACGGTGAACACAAAGGAGAAAGTACGTGAATGGACCGGCAAAATCCGGACGGAGATGCGAGGGGTCGATCGCCAAATTCGCGGCATTCAGCGCGAAGAAGAAAAGGTGAAAAACGAAATCAAGAAGGCAGCGAAGAAAGGCGACCGGGATGTGTGCCGGGTGCTGGCCATGGAATTGGTCAGGTCGCACAAAGCTATATCTAAGATGTACGAAAGCAAGGCACAAATGAATTCTATCATTCTGAACATGAACAACCAACTGGCGACACTGCGAATGGTCGGCTCATTGCAGAAGAGTTCTGAGGTGATGAAGAGCATGCAGATGCTCGTGTCGCTGCCCGAGTTCGCATCAATCA